GGGAGGCAGCCAGGCAGGCCCGGCGGGAGGCCGCCGTTGGCCCCGTCGTGTTGTCCCCGTGTCGCCAGAGCTCCCTCCCTCGAAGGAAGCGTACTGCGCTGAAAGGCTGGCAGCTGTTTGCACCGGTCTTTAATTTAGCTGTGGAAGTTTTCCAGCCCGAGCACGTGAGAACTTGGATCCTAAGAGATTATTTATTAGTATGGCGTGCAAGAGATAAACAAAGCCATGCCGTGCTTCTTTCAGGCTCTCTTCAAGCGGCCTGTGGTGCTGTTCTGCCTTTCCTTTGCTAAGGTTTAATGCCTTTCTGGCTTGTCTGTATTTTTCTTCTTTAAAAGCAAATTATTTTTCTTCTAAATGCTTCTTTATTTTGATCCCTGGGCCACTATGAAGCTCTCTAAAACCTGGTTGGGAAAAAAGCTGTGTTAAGAGACTGTCTGGTATGTTGGACCCTTTAAGGAAAATAGAATTGAAATATGTATGGTTGCTTTGGAAGCAGGGATGAAGAGAAATTACTGGAGAGGTAAAGAAAAGCATGAATGGAGCAATCACAAGCAAAGTTACTATCACCGTCGGTGCAGAAGAACCAATCACAGTAACTATTCTGAAAGGTAAGTATATGCTCTTTTTCTTAAGACAGGTTAAGCTATCTCCTAGCTTAATCAGGCTGTTAGATGTGATGCCTGATTAAATTTGATGGCAGCTGTCCAGAAATTGGAGGGTTGCCACCTAAAGATCAAGAGGACAGTACATCTAGTATACCAGTCATCAAAAATATTCCTGGTAGGAGTGGAATTGTATTGAACTTTGGAAATTCATCGCATGCCCACAACTGTATTTTGGTTTAAAATGGAGCTGTGTTTCCTTGAAGTAATCCTTTTGTGTTTGCCTGATTTTATTGTGTGAGCTCTTCATCAGTATGCAAAGGTAGTTCAGGAAAGAAACATAAAGTACTTCGCCGCCACATTTGTTTTACCCCTCAGTGTCTGTTAGTGTAAAAGCTGTCATTAAAAGAGCTCCCTAAAAGTTTAAAAATACTTTAATAATGTGCAGTAAAGTAGGTGTTATTACCATATCTAGCAGATCAGGTAACCGAAATAGAGGGTCGTAGGAATAATTCACTGCCTAAAAATGACTCTTTCAGAAAGGTACATCTTAAACTTTAGAATTTTTATTTGCCTGTGTTTTAGCTATTATGAAGGCTCTCTTTCTTTTCTTGTTCTTGTGTTGGTCTCTCTTGCAGGAATAGTATGGGCTGATCCTCTGCTTTAGTCCTCTAAGCATTTGTTAAGGGAGAGAGAGACATATGGATAGAGCTAATGGATGGGTCCTAGTTCAGTGAATATAGAATTTAAAAAATGATTTTATTAAAAAGCTTTAAATTGAAGTATGTTAGTTTGGTGTGGGTTTTTTTTTCCCCTGTTGATTTATTATGTTCTTTAAGTATTTCAAGCTTGTACAGTCAGATGGTAATAGAGCCTCCATTAAAACTAGAATCCCTGTGTCATTTTGTTTTCAATAAACTACAAATCATGTAAAATGTCTTCACCTTATGCTTGTAAGATGACACGTAATAAGAACTCTCTCGAAAAGTGAGAATTGTACAGGTGACTAGGAAAACATCCAAATGGAATTTCACTCATCAATATTGAACGTGTGTACTCTAATGATTTCAAAAATAAATAATCCGCAGTTACCCAGAATCAACTGCAGTATTGATGACAAAAGTAGAGAGGTTTTTTCCCTTTGATTTTTTTTCTTCAATTTTTGTTTAGCTTGCTTCTTTTAGAACCTCATCAGTGAGATTTGTGTCTTGAAGATGCTAGCAAAATATTTCTTACCTGACATCAAGATTTTACCTATGCTGTCTTTTTCAATTTATGCTGTAAAGAGTTCCCAGATCTACAAGGTTTTTTGTTTTCTTTTATTTTTTAATACAAGAGGAGCTAGTAAAATGCCCAGAATTAATATTTTGCTGAAAAATGTTAAAGGCAGGTGTACAATCAGAATCCACCTCCAATGTTTTGGTAAATACTAAAGACTTTTAAGACGTTGATGTCTCTAATGTTCTTAAGAGGTTTTTAGGCTAAACGTTTTTACTGTTTCTTTTTGATGATTTGGTATATGGTGATTCACGCAGTATGCTTATGACAGCCCTGCAAAATTGTACTCTGTTAATGTGAATAGCAAGCTGCTTCCAAAAGTCTTTGCAATGAAGGTCTGGAGGACAACTGTGCGCCTGCCTTGAAGGCTATACTATCTTTTAGACCTGAACAGGAAGAGACGCAGTCCCCTGTGAATGCAGGCCCCAGCAACAGTGAAAATTCTTCTTCCAGTTTAACACAGAACTCGGTAGCACCAGGTAAGAGACCACGTTTACTGGTTAAAAATCAGTGCCTATATGCTAACTGTATGAAAAAAATAGCAGTAGCAGTGTTAATACTATGGTGTTGAAGGATATAAACGACAAAGTTTGTAGAGAAAAGTGATATCAAATGGTCTAAAAAGGTGTAGTAGGTGGGGCTGTAGAGAGCAGGGACAAATACATTTTCAAGCCCATAAGCCTTTCTCATGTTTGAAAACTGGTGTGCTTAGCCAAGCTGATATAAACTGAAGAAATAGGATTCTGTTTCTCTACAAATGTGGCTTTGGGAAGAAAATGACCTTGTTGCTCTTTTCATGTCAGCTGAAGATGTTATAATATAGATCTTTCAACAAAAACTGTTAATAAGCAAAGAAAGTAAGACAGCATATAAAAATTATAAAACCTATGTCCAATATTCAGCCTCTTTAAAAACTCAGCGACCTACAACTTTGGAAAAGATATAAATTCATCCCTATTCCTTCAATGTATTTTGTAATCTGTAAGAGGTATGGCTAAATGATCTGTTTGTTCATTAATCAGGGAGGCAACTAGAGAACTTAACACAGTAACGATACTATTGAGGAAGATATCCCTTTTGCATGCTGGTTTCCAGGCTCATATATGTATCCCTAGTAAAGCTAAGCTTGTGGTAACGTACATTTCTCCAAAATGGGAGGGTACTGAAACAGGACTGTGTAACCTCTTAACAACAGACAGAAACAGAGTTTAAACTGACCCTTTTACATATCAACCCATTCATGCTTAAGAGGTTGTGAGCCTGTTAGAAACATGTGCCCTGCAAAGCTTTTGTTGCTATATAATCAGTTCAAATATAATGAATGCAGTGCACTGTTAACAACCTTATTGATGCATGCAGTGGCTTTATATTTTTTTTGATCTGAATAAATCTTTGCTGTTTGTTTCCTAAGAGATGTTGACAAGGAGATGTATTTAGAGTAATCTTGTTTTTGCTGCTGTTTACAATTCACTTTCTAGCAATAGCAAAAGGTTTAAATTCAAACCCTTGAAATGAGGTGAAGATGTTAAATTTCACCTTTTTCAAATCAAATCCTTTTGCCTTGAGGCAATCTACCATTATGAGTCTGTCGGAAGTGTTTTGCCTGTCTACTGTGAATTTACCCAGGCAGTGAAGCACTACAATTGAATGCTTCTCTCTTCCCAGTCCATCTTTGGAATGAGCATCTGTACGTTGTCAAAGTCTACTCTTGCTTGTATCTAAATCTGGCATGTGTATTCAGGAGAAGGTGATTCACTTCCCAGAGCATGCCACTCTATTTCCGTTTGGATGATGCTTAGCTGCCAGTTATTTTGCATGGGACTTCCCTTAGGTAGTCTTTTAACCAACAGTGTCACCTCGTGACTGATTTATGAAGAATAGTCATTTTTGTTCTGCAGCAAAACCTTTCCCTTTGCTTCTCTGATCTGTCTGAATTTCATCTTGGTGGCATCCCTTCTATACTTGTGTAATGACACTGCATATGCATGCTTTACTCTAAGTGACTGTCAGCAGTTATTTGATGAGGGGTAACACTGTTATCTATGCCCAGTCTGTTTATCATGCTTGGGACCTGCTGGGAACAAGAGCTTTTAAGTTTTGTAACCCTTTGACATTGCTATGAAGATGTGGGATGTCAAAGAGCAGTAAAGAAACTGAGTTATCCATATGATTTTGCCTGTTGTTTGCCATTTTAAGAACTGCCAGGATTTTACTATGACTCAGAAAAGAACCGCTATTTTCGCCTGCTGCCTGGACATAATAACTGCAACCCCCTCACCAAGGAGAGCATTCAATACAAGGCGATGGAATGTAAAAGACTGAGACTCTTAGAAGAGGAAGAAAAACAAAAGAAGGTAGGCTCTGAAAAACTTTATAGACTTTTAGACTTTATTGTGTACAGGGCAGATCACAAGCTAAACTACTTCAATTAAGCTGGCTGAAAAATGAGAATTCTTTTTTGCTGAGAATTTAGAGTTCTTGAAGTCCTTTGTTTGTTCCACGCAGGCATGGAAACAAGCCATTTTCAAAAACTAAATCCCTAAAGGGACAGGAGCTTTGCTTAGAATAGCAGATAGTCCAACAGTTGTACTTAGCTCAGGATATTGGATGCCAGGTTTCAAATCCCTGCTTGGAATTTGCCAAGTGGGGTCTTAATTGTAGGTTTTCCACACCTGCTTAACAAACACACTGATCATGTTGCTGGACCCTGAGGAACAGTACTAATGAAATTTTGTTGAAACAGCATTTCTGTGAAGAATTCTGATTTTATTGTTTTTGGCAGGAGAAAACAAAGTTGGTCTTACATTTATCATCAAAAGCATGTAGGCTTTCCAGGCATAAATTGTAAAGCGCAAAGTGTTACAGCAGAATTAATACTGATACTACATATCAGTAGTCTGGGTAAAATACCTAACAAGGATGTTTTGTATTTTGTAATTACCTGAAAACCAAGAGTTTTGTGGCTTTACAAGTCAGTAGTTGTAGCTCTGCTTAAATGTGCTGATTGTTAAACGCTTTCACTTGGGAGAGGAGCACAGTGTTTTTCTCCATAGGTAATGAAGTTCTGACTTAAGCCAGCTATTCAGCTTTTTTTATATTCGCTATGAAAATGTTACAGATGTCTCCATAATTTAGCTGTTTCCATGAGGGGTTTAGTGTAGTTTTCAAAAAGCTGCTTGCCAGCTTGTTTTTAACAGGAACTATGGATGTATCTCTCTTAAAGAATCTGGCTATCAAATCAGACATCTGAATCAGGCTCCCAGATGCAAATGTTTTGACTCTTAAATACGTGCTTTGTCAGAGCATTATCAAAAATTTCTTACTCCCAAACGCTGCCAAACATTCTTTTCTTTACTCTCCCCAGTATTCAAAGTGTTCACGTGAAACTTTAAAAGTGTGATGAATGGAAAAGCAATTTAGTGCAGCAGTAAGACTGCATAGTTAATAGCAGTCTCGTGGTGATAGAAAGTTTTGCTATATATAAAGAGTTTAAGGTATTATAGCGAAACCAGAAGGTGACTCTCACACCTCAAGGTGGTACTGCTGATTATGTCAAGTACAAATAACAGCTAGATTTTTTTTTTCAATTTTTGTATTTAGGAGCATGTGACCTCTCGGAGAATCTGCCCTTGATTTTATTTCTGCTTCCTCTTGTCTACTTGCCCTAGTAGACTAGGGAGGTGGTGCTGGAATGTGTTTTATAAACCTTCTGCAACTGTTATTTTTATTCTTACATATATAGTTAGATAGATATATCTAGGCCAGATAGATATATCTAGGCTTAAAAAGTTAACAAAGTATCTCAAACATCAAGGATCCATGGCTGCGTTTGAATCATAAACAAGCATATAACTGAATATGCCTCTGTTTTATTCTCTTCTAGAAAACAGCAAGGGCTGGATTGAACTCATCTATGCTGTTGCACAAAAGGCAGCTAGGTTTGCTCAGCTCCACAAGTTATTGCAGGTAAAATGATTTGAGTTCTTTTCTGTTTGCGCTACCAAGTTCTGCTGTTAGTGCAACTGCTCCTGTCAGGGGTTTACATTCTCTGCTGTTCCAGTTAGCACAAGAGAAGAATATATTAGTTATAATAACATAATAGTTACATTTCTTTATACTCAGATCCTGCCTTGTTTCCCAAACAGAGATTCTGTTACAGACTAAATCGTTGCACACCTAGAGAAGGGTTCACAGACCTTTCCAAAAGTGCTGAGGATTGGAATGAGGAAAATATTTCCTAATCTCAAATCAAGTGTGAAACTTTACACTTTTCTCAATATATGCTGTTCTGCCACATTTTGCTTTATGAATACAGTGCAGCTTTTCTTTGGATAAATGATCTTCAGCTGATGTGGACTCGTCCCCAGCCCTCTTTAGAACCTCTGAACTCGGATTCACTAGCACCATAGAAGGCAAATCAGTGACTTACTATGTCATCGTTTCTGCTACTGAAGGCATACTGGGGCTTGAAATGATAGAATGAAAAAGCTGTGGAAGATGCACATATTCATGGGCTATATAAGTGAAACTGGGGCCTGCTAGTTGTTCAGGCATTTTATCTTCTGTGATTGAGAAGCAGTTCTGTGTCCCTTATCCACAGTTCTTTTCGTTGACCTAAATTTTTTTCCCTGCTTTTACAGACTGGTCCATGAATTAAAAATAAACTGCATGCAGAGGAGGAAGATAGAAATTCACAGTCCAGATTCCTCAGTCGATGGAACCAACAACTTCAAAATAATTGTGGTATGTTGTGAGAGCTGTTAAGCTGTTAGGATAAAGGGACCTGTGTTCATTGGAAATTCAGGCTCTTGTAATTGAATCCCATAGGTCAGATTCCACTTTTAAGGGTGCGTTATTTGGGTTGTGTTCGTTCTCAAACTGCTCAGTAATTTTTTTTTATAACAGGTAGGAAGAGGCTGTTCCTCCCCTAGAAAGGGGAAATGGTGAAAAGGATAGATATAAAAGCGACTTTTGAAGCTGACCGACGTGTTCTCTTGAGAAATAAACAAGAGTCGTAATTAGTGGATGACTGAGTGGTTAAGTAGTTTTTTTAAGGGAATAAGAAAATGGCAGAGAAGAGTTTGTGGAGTAATGTAGTCTGTGGTCCATAGAGTCTGTGTAGATGTCAGTAATGATTTTACATCTGATCGTCTGAAGGCAGTTCCTACTGTTTTTGATGGTACTGTGTGTGCCAGAGAGGTCTTGAATGCAGGAAGTTCTCTTGTACCAGCCTCTTGCCTTGTAAACAGAACACTTGATGACTTGCTCAAGCCAGAAGGGAGTTGGAAACTTAATGTCGTAAAGTAAAAATTGAAATGTAATGCCAGCTGTTTCACTGCAGCTGTTTCACTGCAGTGTGATCCAGCAAGAGGAGAAGGCTTTTGTGCAGTGTAGGAGAATTTCAATTTCAGAGTTCCTAAGACTTGAAATTTGTTGTGCTGAGCCCTCCACAGCACAGATACTCTGGATAATTAGTGAGCACAGACGAGTAAGTGGCTCGAATGGATGCAATTAGAAAGAGTATTTCTTGTTGGTAAAGGGCTGACTCCTGACTTACTGAATGTGTTTTCTGTGCATATATATATATATATATATATGTATATATATATAAAGGAGGTGGCCACTCTGTTTTAGAGATGAATGGAAGGGGAATGGTGGTGAAGGCATCAGAACTAATGCATTTCTTTAAATTAGACCTAATCCAGCTACCTCAAATCATTTTTTCCGGTAAGTTCCCAGTATGCCTATCCTTTCATCTTTACAGGCAGATGTTGCCTGTGAGCGGATATTCACTGTGAACGATGTAGAGCATGGAGGGTGTAAATATGGTATCATCAGTCTCAGTGGTTTGGGGAAGGAGTCTCTCACTGTGGAGATGTATGACAACCTCTACTTCACAAACCGCAAGGTACTGTGTTCTATTTCTGCTTCCTTTGGTTGTGTTCTCTAAATGCTGTCCCTTGAGAAGCAAAGGTAGAAATGCCTGAGGGCTGGGGAGTAGGTTAGAAGAGGGGAATGGAAGAATCTGGCAATGCCAAGTTCTGAAAAACAGAATCACACTTGCCCTGTCTCTGCTGGTTCTGTATACCAACCTTAGTTTTTAGGAGCACTGTCCTACAGCTGGAACAGAAAACTATGTGGACGGTACCACCTTCCAGGGGATAGTGCTCGCTTCAGAGTTGCGCTTGGCAGTAGCTGACAAAACTGATGTTGAAGGCCATGAACTACTAGGATTTGTTTCCTTCTTTCTTAAAAATGGGTTTGGAGAAAATATGTTTCTTCTTGAACAGGAGGAATATTTACAACAAACTTCTATAATCTCTACATGTTCAGATTCTTTTAAGGATGCTGCCTTAAATAACAGGACGTGCTTGATGCCTCAGTTCGGGTTTGGACAGACTTCTGAATGCTGCCCTGTCTCCTTCTACGTTTAAGAGGAGTATGAAGCTAAAATGCTCTTTTGTATGCCATTACTGGGCTAGTTAGTGGGCTAAGCATACGGGCCTCGCTCTTACTCTCATGTCATCTTTGCATGGAAATACCCTTTCATGAGTTGTACAAGAGACCACAAAAATGGTATGTCTTCTTGTGTCTGAAGGTGAATTCTGTGTGCTGGGCATCATTGACTCATCCAGATTCTCATGTTTTATATCCTTTTAAAAATGCAACATTTCAGTTCTACTTTCAGTAGCCTGCATCACGCTGCACAAAACAGACAACTACCAGGAAGACATCTCACCAGAAATAATATTTTTCTGAGAAATAGAAAGAGTTATGAAAATTGAAAGAAGGCAGAGATAGTGAGACACATGTAAGTTGCTGCTATATAGATATATCTAGCATTGCTCCAATATCATAGTGGGCAAAAGACCACATTTGCTACTGTGAAGACTTCCCACTTAATTAACAGCATAGATGCCATATCCAAAATGATCTGATGCTTGGAAATTGGCTGGAGCAACAGGTTAAAGGAAAAGAGAATTAAGGGAACAAACTCTCTGTCGAAGAGCTCTTTGGAAGTGGGTTGGTGGGCTTCTCATCGGCATATTGATGGGGGAATGGGGGCTGAGAATGGCAGCAATTCATTGGTATCACACTCTGCCACTTTCAGAGTGTGTTCTGCAAATTCGTCTTAAAAGAAGAGGAAGGCTGGTGTTACGGTAGAGGAGCCGGTGATGGAAGTTGCAGAATCGCAGAAGAGAGGAAGGAAAAGGGGTTTTAATGTGGGAGATGGCAGACAACAGAGGTACCACTGAAGTTTCAAAAGAGAGGCTATAATAAGCAAAAGGGCCTAATTTCTCATGGGAAAGGCCGAGAAGTTTAGAACTGATCCAGAACGTGGGGAGTGTCTATCAGACTTGCTCAGAGCTGCTTTCACCTAGTCATATCACAGATTTACCACACCGAACTTGAAAAACAAGTTTAAAATCCTATTCATGCCTGCTCTAATGTTTAGAAAGTATTTTAGCGCAACCTAAGATGAGCCCTCCTTGCCTCCCCACTGTGCATGCACCCCTCTGCCCAAGCTGTCTCCCTGAAAAACGGATCTAGTTTAGTTCATCGTCATCAGCATGTAAAGATGAGAAGAATGATCCATGTAGGCCATTGTGGGGGCTTTTTGTGTTTTTTTTGTTGTTGTTGTTGTTGTTTGGTTGTTGTTTTGGTTGGTTTGTTTGTTTTCCTATCCTTGGAAAGAACAGGAGATGCCTTTAGTATTCCTCTCACGTTCTCTTTCTGGGTAATGTAAGTACACAAACTAGCACTGGAGGTCTTTCTATCCCTTCCCTATGGAAGAAAATAAGTGTTGAGACTTGATTGTAAAGCGTAAAGCACATGAAGGGTCTCGGAAAACGTTACTAAAGGGAAAGTGTTGTGAGCTGCTGCTGTGTCTAGCATGTTGCTTTTCCCTCCTGTAAATGTTAGGCAGCCTGATTCTTTCTAGGCAGAAATCATTGTTTTCCTTAACTCACTCCAGCAAGCTGTGTCTCATGGGAATTGCAGAAACACCGGGCTGTGCCAGTCTGCTTCCAGCGTCGTTGTTCAGCAACTCTAACCCAGGTAGGGTGGAGGGGTTGGGTTGTTTGTTTGTTTTCTAGTTTAAGATAGTAGTCTCAGCATGAATATAGAACTAATCTCTCCTTAATGCTATATTTTTCTTTAGTAGTTGGTGAGATTGTTGTGTTTTTATACTGTTACAGGCTTTCTGCGCTTTACAAGAAGTGAATGGATCAAAGAACTGACCTAAGGAATTAATTAACAAGCAGCATTCATGGCACTAGTTTATTTTTATCTCCTGATGATATAATATTTGACTTTTGGCAGGAGAACATCTCACTTGGAAAGTGAGATTTGAGGTTTTTCATGTTAGTAGCTCAGCCTTAAATTAATCCACAGAAGCTGCAAACAAAGAAGCTTGGCCCAAAGCTCCCTTTCAAGCACTGGACATGACACTCAGTTGTGTGTAAACGTGATTGATTTTGAGACCTCTGTTGTCTTAAATCTGGTGGCTGTAGCTGTATTGTTTACATAGTATTTGTATGTTTGGTGTTCTTAGGGGCAGGACTTTGTATTCGTTGCACTTGCTTCCTTGACCATGCTAATACAGGATAGAGTCCTCTAACCTGGTGACCTGTCATGATCAGTTAAGTTTATACAGATGAAATCTGTGATAGATAAAAATGTAAAATTGGTCTGTGACTCACTTGATGTCATGCTATTTCTGGAGCCTTAAGGGAGAAAAACAAAGAAAGAAAAAAAAAAAAACAGATATGTAGGATTAGCATGAGCTGGAAGAGTAACTTTTGGAAGAAAGAGGACTACTTGGCCAGCATGCCCTACTGCTTGGTAAAACATTTTAAGCCCTCTGCCATAGATGCCCTGAGTTTCACCACACTCCTTCTATCTGCTATTTCCTATTGACAGTTTTAGGTGTTTCCAAGTGTCGTGTTATGCTTTAGTTCACTCTCCTAAATTGTTATGAGGGACCATCGCTAAGTAGTTACAGGGAGTTGAATAGAACTTAAACTATGGTTTGTTTTAGGCGTATCACCTCTGCTGCCAGACATCAGGATGAGCATGGTGGACATGACGTCTTCCAAGCACTCAGTTTTCACTTACTTCAATAGCAATTTGTAGAGTTTGGCTGTGTAGGAGCTACCTAAGAGTCAAATCTAGGGTGTTGTCGCTTACTCAAACCTGTCTTCTGAAACAGAAACAGGCCAAGAAAAACAGGGAAGAGACAAATCTAATCTCTCTGTGCCCCCGCCCCTTTTTTTTTTTCCTTCTATTCCCTCTCTTTAAATTCTTCTGTTTTCACTGTTTGAGAACTTTCAGGTTAGGCTTTGGCTAATCTATGGGTTCTAGGGTAAATAGATGCTTTCTGTTTCCAACCCATGTAGTCTTGCAAAAATGGCAAACTTAATGCTGCCAGGCAAGTGTTACTTCCCTCTTCCCTGCCGAAGCCAGCCCTCTGATTACTGACTAGATTTTACCATCTGTCATGATCATCTTATCTAGCTAGTCTACAAGAGTTCAGCTTACAGTCATGAAGTCTCTTTTTTGCTGTCTCTTGAGTAGCGCAGGGACACTGATTGGATAACATTGCAATTAGAAGCAGAGACCTACAATGTTAAGAGGTATGGAGATCAGGGGAAGCTTTCTAAGTTATCATCCTGTCCGTACAGTTTTATGGATGCTTCATGTGGTGTTCCTGTCTCCTAGGAGATCGACCTGGAATGCTGTGCAGCTTCAAGATATCCACTGCCTGGTCCTGTGCTTGGTGCCTGAATTCCCAAGCGGACAACTGCTTCAGCACAGGTGAGCTACAAGGGTAGTTACCCCCTTCATCTCAATGAGAATGACTTCTTGCACTTAATCTCCCAGCTGCTTCTCATATCACAGCTAAATGAACGTAATCTGTCTTCTTCAGGCCTGACACGACGAGTTCTTGTGACCAATGTAGTGACAGGGCATCGACAGACATTTGGAACCAGTAGTGATGTCTTAGCACAACAGTTTGCCACACAGGTAGAAAGAAACATATACCCTTAATTTTTCAGAGCTCTGTCTCGTTGATGGACTTTTGTTCTGTTTATAGTGGAACTCTAGAACTCATCATGCTATACATAAGGTTATAGTTACAGTTACTGTTAGACAACTATTCTGCAACAGAGCTGATATGATCTGATGCTGGCACACAATGGAAAAGCAACAAAAATTCAGCTGATTTCAAACTCCATGGCAACAGGGGCAACTTTGTTAAATGTACAGAGGTAAAAGGAAATGAAACAAATACAAAGAGCAGCAGTAGTAGTGCAATGTAATATTGGGGAGGGTGTTTGTTTTGTGCCAAATGGACTCCAAATATTTCATTAACACTCAGTGCGTTGCTTCCGTTTTACAAGATGAAGAAGATGCTTATGAAACACTAATTGACTTATTTGCAAATGCTCAGTGGGGGCGGGGGGGATGTTAACCTGGAATGTGAGGATTCCGGTTCCCATTCTGCTGTTATACTAGTCTAAGTTCCTACTTAGTACCAAGCTGAACTTTTACAGCTCAATAATTGAGGTTTGAATGGAACTAGTGAGGTGGCTGAAAAACGTTGCAATATGTAATAAAATGTCTGATGCTTAATGCCCGTGTTAATAAAATTGTGACAACTGCAGTGGAGACCTCAAAAGCTTGGCATTGCTACTGTCTGTATAACTTGCATATTACGTTTCTTCTTTCTGTTGGATTCTTCCAGACCCCAGTGCTGTACAATGGCTGCCGTTCGGGTGAGATTTTCAGCATTGATGTGCGTCAGCGCAACCGAAAGGGCCAGAGCTGGAAAGCAATTCGTCTCTTCCATGACTCGGCAGTTACGTCCATTCGCCTTCTGCAAGCTGAACGTTATCTTATAGCGGCAGATATGGCTGGAAAGGTATAGTTTTAAGGCTTTTAGGAGGAATTTGATATTGTTCCTTTTAGTAACTGGGCATCGACAGGTTCTTTCCAAGGTCAGGGGGGCACCCATTCTTTGAAGAGAAGTGATTGCTGTTCTCAGCCCTCTCTCTCACTCATTAGTCTCCTAAACTGTGTGTTCCTGTGGTTTTGAGACAAGAGGCTTATGCGACATAAGTGATTCATATAAAACTTGAGGACTTTTATGCAGTGCAGTAGTTCAAAGGAATTGAGATTTGTCTGAGGCCCTATTACTAATCCTGGATAAAAAGTAAGGGAAACTGTACTTAATTTACCAAGTCTGTTGCCAAGTGGAAAAAGAATACATTTTACTGGGGATGTTTTGTTTTGTGTGTGTTTTTGTTTGGTTGGTTGTGTGTGTTGGGGGGGAGGGGTTGTCTGGTTTGGGGGTTTTTTGTTTTGTTTCTTCTTTTTTTTTTTTTAATACTTTCCAGAAGCTAGTGTGTTCACATTGGTATTCACATTGTTGGCTACTTAACTGGGTAACAGTTCCATATTTTGATCCTTCTTGTTCCCTACTTCCTGGTGCACTTATTTACCAACTGTCAAGTAGTCTCTGCTTTGTTAATAATGTCATCTTTTGAAAAAATCACTTGAACTTGCAGATAAAACTGTGGGACCTGCGAACAGCAAAATGTGTGAAACAGTACAAAGGCCATCACAATGAATATGCTCTTCTCCCTTTGCATGTAAATGAGGAGGAAGGACTTCTTACAGCAGGTAGGTTGACTTTTGCTCCTGTACTTGTAGAGTGCCTGGCAGTGACTTCTTATGCCTGGGGAATGTTTCTTAGATGTAGCTGTTGAAAGCTGTAAGGCTGTTAATTCTTTAGAACAGATAGAAAGTTAGCCTTAGACGTAGCATAATAAACTATGAACATAAGGAAATACTATTATAGATGCACACTTACTGTAATAAAGTAGTTGAGAGCCACAGAGGCGTTATCTGCTGTGTCCAGTAAAAGTCCCATTATCCTTTCTACAGCATGTCTCAAGAGTAGAACAGAAAGTACTTGATTTTGAAGTTTAGGGAAGCAACACTGAAAGAGGACTCTTGAAATAATAGCATAATATACAGGCAAAAGACCATGTATATTTGATGCTTAAGTGGGCAGTATGGTGGTGGACTGAAGCACTGACATGAAAGCATAACTCCTTGTACCCTGTCTATACCACTCATGTTTGTTTTGAATATACTTGACTACAGATTGAGTTTATTTGTAAAGTTTGGTAAGTAACAATCATAAATGAGGCAACCCTCCTGAGTCCTCATGGTATAGCCAAGTTTCTCAAAGTCACCATGAACACAGTAACCTACTCTCCTTGGATTTTTCAACAAGGGACAATGCTGAGAATTCTTTTTAATTTGACAAGTTGGTTTTTTTTTGGCTTAGCCTGAAAATGAGGAAAACATTTGAAATACTGATTTATTGAGCTTGTGTCTTTTCTTGACTGATAGGAAATACTGTAAAGGTGGGAAAAATGTGTATTCAGTGTAGAGTTTGTCTCCTAAAACACTAATAAACACTTTGCTTCCTCTGTGTGTGTGGAAACGGGCAGTTTTTTTTCCCCGTAGACCTTCTGCTTCTCTGATGAAAATCTCACAGAGCAGTGTACAATACCTCGTGTGGTGTTGATTTCTGATGTCCTTTCCTCTCCAGTTGGTCAGGATTGCTACACCAGAATTTGGAGTCTCCAAGATGCCCATCTGCTTAGAACCATCCCTTCTCCCCACCCATCCTCCAAAGATGCCATTCCCAGTGTGGTGTTTTCTTCAAGACTTGGGGGTAGCCGAGGAGTTCCTGGCTTGCTCATGGCTGTCAAACAGGATCTCTACCACTTCTCCTATAATTGACACAGTTGCTATTCTCCACTGACCTGGGATGCAAAGCCACCATGCTATAGGTGACTTCAAAGTTGTTAAACAAATCACCATGCCATTGAGTCAAAACGTGCTGTTGTTGCACCTGCTTTAGCTGTGAGATACTGAAGGAGATTCAGAAAGTCTTGCTCTATACATCTCAGACATCTTATAAGTTAATCAGCATTCTGCTTTTATTTATCAGGCAGAATTCAGGCTCTTTGACATCTAGTTGTAAGCTTTGAAAAGCAGGTAACTTGCAGTAGGGGGCTGATTCTCACACAAGCTGGATTTACTGTCAGAAGGCTGCTCTAATTCAACCCTAGTTTGATCAGGTGCTTGACAGCTGTGGCTACATCTATGTTAGCAGGTAGAGTAGCATGGATTAGCAGAACAAAGCAGTTAGTGCTGAGAAGCTGACGCTGTAGGTGGTCTGGGGTTTTGTTTGGACTTGCTGTGGTCTGGGTCCCTGAAGCGGCTGTCTCTGCTACTTATCTGGTTGGAAGCAGTGCAAGGGAAAGCTATTTCCCTAGCCTTTACTGGCTAGGGAGGGGCTATGTCAAACTTTGCCCTTCTCAGATGATGGTAGCGTGCCACTGTCCTGCCACCTTTTCCTCTAAAAGGCATCACATGTAGAACAAAGACCCATTCCTAGTCTAAGCCTCAGGCTGCATGTCCTATTTAATTTATCATAGTGCTTCCTAACAAAGTCCCCACCTGATTTGAAGTTTGGTCATCAGCCACACAGCAGTTGTCCAGAATGGCAGGCTTATTCATGCAGCTCTAGCCAGTTCTCTGGGAGCAGGAGACAAGCCCTGCCTGGAGACACCACCTCTTCCTTTGGATGAGATCACCCACTGTGGATTCAGGGCTTTTGAAAACAAAGATACGACTAGGGCCCTTAGCTGCAAAGTTGTGGCACCAGTATTTTGGGAGCCAATGTCTGTGTTGTCATCCAGTGGAGTCTCATTACCCCCAGCTCCTACCTAACAGTGGTAACCAGTTTGGGTTGGGCAAGGCCATCCTGTAGATGGAGTAGGCAGGAGGTGTAGACAAGATCAGGAATCCCCAGACACTGAAGGCTTTCATTGAAGGCCCCACTAGGTGGGGCTGTTGATGGGCCTCCTAACCTATTTCACTGCATCCAGTGCCTGGCCTGAGGCAGATAGTGATTGTGTTTGCCATGAAGGCTGCCACTTTGTCCAGGAGGTGATCCCACAGTCTTCCTGAAAAGCTTCACAGGAAGGACATGCAACAGCCAAGTTTTCCAAAACTTGCAGATGGAAAAGGAATGCAGGCACTCCCTTTCTATCAAGGGATCCTCTTATAGCAGTCAGATGTATAACTGTGTCATCAGAGATGCTGCTTTCTCTGGGGTTACAGGGTCCTGCCAGGGCAGCCACTGGATGCACGCGCACGCACGCAGCTTAATTCCATCCTTGCTGCACTACATGTTAAGATGGAGAATGTATTCAGTTGGCTCAGTGAGATGGCAGTGTCTGAGACAGGCTGGGTGTCTGCATTCCCAATGCCTTCTGCAATCAGGTGGATGCTGCTTGTGTGTGTGGCTTTATCTCAGCAGGAACAACAAAGATGAATTTTCCTAGTGGCTATAGGCGCAGCCTTCTGCGTAGCTGGAGTACCCAGCGTAGCACTCACACCTGGGATACTGTTTCTTCGTTGCAGAGGAGTGTTGTGGTGCTTGGCATCGTGGGGAGGAAGGGGCTTGCAGTTCCATGTCAAAGCTTTTGTACTTCAGTAACTCGCATTCCAGGAATAAAGAAAGAAACTGCTAATACCTCTCTCATGTCTGTATACCCTTTGTCTGTTTTGTTCCCTGCTGGTGTTCACTTCACCATGTCTTTTGGGTGGCCATAATTACTTTGCTTTCCAAGACTCCTCCTGACTTTGCTGCATATTGCCCTGCACTTGGGGGCACCCTTGAAGCCCCTAAAGCCATAGGGCCAACTGGCCTGCTAAAGGGGTCATGGAAGGCAGTTGTTTTTCAGTGGAAGGTAGGGGAAGGTGTATCTGCCTGCTCCCTATGTCTAAGCAGAGGCAGGGAATAGTGGTAGCCATAGGTAATTAATCCTAAGAGTGATAAGTTGTATTTCTGAGCCTTAAGGGCTGAGGGATGCTCTGTTGGCTAATTAGGCCCTGCAGGGTGCCAAGCAATCCTGTTCCTGCCCTCAAAGGAAACCTTCACAACCGCTGTCCCAGGTGTGCCACAAAGGTTTCCACCTCTTTTCTGACTCAGCAGAAATTTGTATGCAACATCTATTGCACCTAAAGCTTTTGGGCAGAGGGACCATACCCTGCCACTTTCATCATGATGGGCCATCAGCCCTACACCACCTCACTCTGGCGCATGTACAGGGAAAGCTCTTAGGGTGTAACTGAGCAAACATGTTTAGAGGGTGTGGTGTTGCAGCCTACTCATCCCTTTGCATCCCCACTAGCGGCCAGGGCTCGTTAAGCACACTTCAGGAGTGTATCATCGGGCTTGGCTTCCTCCAAAATGAATCCAGTTCATGTACCGCAAGGGCTCTACGTTGTGAATTGAATACACAAGAGATTCCCTTCACAACTGCAATGCTAACCTGGGCACATGCTGGGGGTGGGAGGGAGGTGGCAGTGTTATTTTTCCAAGGCACTCGCCTCCCGTTTCATTTTTCAAGCAACTTTGGATAAGGGGGAATTACTCAAATACAAGCAGGTGCCAGCAACAGTCAGTCCTACTAAGATAAGGACTCCTCCCTGTCTTGCAGGGTTCCACAGTCATTTCTCCTGTCCTCTTACAGTCTTCAGGCCTAAAGAGTTTCTGGGAAACCCTCTATTCTTTTCAGTACCTCCTATTGCTCCCCACACCCCAATGTTATGTGTGGTTATCTCCTTCCCTTTCTTTATATCTCTTTTGTCCATTAATCTATACATAAGACAAAAAAGCTATAGCAGGAATATTCTCCTCTTGGGAGCAGTGCAACAGTACAATGTGAATATATTCTATTTGAAATAACTGCATTGTGAGAGTAGTCATCTCTCCATGAAAGAAAAATCTCAGCAAATATCTTTCCTGTTGGCATGTACATTCAGAACCCCCCAGATCCTATTAACCAACTCATGTTTTCCTTTAGGCAGACTGAGCTGTGAATTCCTTATGACTAGCTGCTCCCCAGATACACCTGGCTTCAGCATCTTCCTACAGAGCCTTCTTTCTCACACACAGTGAAGCAGGTGCTGCTCAGAGCATACTCTGCTGCCCTGCCCCTTCTTTCTAAAAAAACTTGTTAGAGAGCTTGCCTGTCCTCTTCAGATGGAAAATCCAGCCTTACTTACTTGCAGGCTCTTTCTTTTCCCCATACTAGCCCTGGATAATCAAGAGTCCAGTCTGGCTAACACAGTCACTGATTCCCGGCTTGCCTTTCTTTCCAATTTAAGAAAACTCTCTGCAGTTTGTGTTGGTTAGTTCTATTCATTTGGGAAATTTTCTGTTGCGTGCACAGTGATTAATACATGCAGCACAACTTTTAAAAGGGTGTACATTGACTTAGTTAATAATGCATACTGCCACTAAGCATCTGTTCAGGAAACAGAAAGGTAACTAACACCATCCCACTGCAAACTCCTAATGTTACTTCTGATAATCAACTCAGAGTTGGGCTGTACATCAGTATTCTTGCTATTAAACACGTGTGGTTCAAGTGCTTGCAGGCAGCAAACCACAAGCATCATGACCTCCCTTAAATCAAAATTAATTCCAGAACTTAAATTAGCATTTAAATTCTCTTCACTGCTCTCAACTCCAGTCATGCCTGTTCTGTGAGAATAAGACCCTGCAACAATTATGCCCAGTTGCTATGGGAAACACAAACTAGGAATTGTGGAAGAAATTGTGGCATCTTACATAACTAAAGACAGTTTATTTCCCTTTGTCCCCCTTTAGGCAAAGTCCATTAAACAAAAGAAACTCATTTGCTTTCTACTGGTTCCAGGAGCCAAAAACATACATGTCCCTGCAAACCCATTTCACTCAACCAGGGCTTTTGCAGCCAGTGCTTCCAATTAAGCCTGCAAGAGTAGTATGAAAGGAGAGGGGAAGTAGGGTAAAAGAGAGACAGTTTGGCTTCAATGACAAACAGCTAGCAGCTTGCAGACAGTAGATGAACTATATTGAATCAACCATTTCCTCATACAGCAGTAGCTAGGAGCCTAAGGAGACTTTAAAAAAAAAAAAAAAAAAAAAGGGGGAACTGCATGCAACACTCACCCTCCTGGCTCCAGTATCAAAATAGCCTATTTCTTTCCCTCAGCTTCCTGGCAAGGACTGAGTCTAGTAGGAAACCTCAGAATGGCCTAACTGCACCCCAAGTTAGTCAGGCTGGGGCATCCCTCATTCAGCAGGCACCACTTGTTTGATCCTCTCCGCTCACTGGAGAGTGGAAGGCTCAGAGTGGACCACCAGGCTCTCTCACTGACCAGACTTTACTGACAGGCTGTAGAGAACAAAACTTCTAGCTTGCACTCAGATCTCTGAACACTAAGCACCTTTGTGCTTTCCCCACTGTTGACCACAGCTATGAGGAGCTCTTGCTGGAGATGCGCTACATTCTTCTTAAGGAGAACAAAAACTGCTTCTCTAGAAGGCTCATCAAAAAGAGCTACTGAAGAATGCTAGTGTGTGTCCTGCACTAGTTACTATTTCTTCCTATACCCTTGCCATCTGTGTTCATCCAAACACTGTGTTGATATCTTACACTTAAAGAGTTCAGCACCAAGCACCATGAGGTTCCGGCAGGGTTCCTACAGTACAATGCACAAGGCCTAGGAAATCAAGGCCATACAGAATTTGTAACCTCTCCCCAGCTTAAAGCAGAGATTATTATTGACTCTTTTCTGTAGTCGAGCTAATCTTTACTTTTCATCAGTGTATAGTCCTTGACTGCTACCCCTCCCTATTGTGGAGGAGGTTATTCTATCAGTCCCTCTCCAATTAAAGCAACACTGGTCCCAGCTGCTCTGTCCCTCCATAGTGAAGAAGCAGCAACATTTTTCTTGCTCCCTGCTTCCAAAGAAAGGACAGAGGCTTTGCTCTAGCAGGAGTCCTTCCCAGGGTGTAAGAGATTAGAGCATGGCAAGGAAGTCCAGTTCCTCAAACAGCAGATACAGGATCACTGAGAATCTCAGGAACAGCCTGCCATGGCATTCTGTCCTGCTCTACTATAAGAACACCCCACATATACTTCAACAAATAATAAAAACTTGCAGTCAGTCCCTCATCAATTTGTTACAGAAGCCATGGAGTCTCACCCTTGTTATGTTCAATCTATTCCGCTTTTATGAACCATCTCTCTTCACCCTGACTAAAAAGGCTCTTTTCACATAAAATCCTTTAGGTCACATGAGGAACTTAAATAGAACAGCTTGAAACCTAAACTGCAGTTTTAAGTGTCTAGGAGGGAGAGGTGAATTGCTTGTGCGTCGAGTTGGGGAGGAGTCATTTCTTTCTGTTGACTCTGATTTAGTGCAATACATGGCTTCATGGTCATTCTTCCCTGAGGAATATTGAAATTAAGACAGTTTAAAAAGTGATTGTACTAGTCACAGTTTCACTCTGGCATTTTTACATTTTGAGCTTAATTATCTAGTACAGTTAGGTCACCATTGAGTATTTATTACAAGGAAGTGGAGACTTAAACCAAAACACGTTCATACTTTTTGTGTGTCCCACTGCAGTAGCTGCTTTCAAGAAAAGCTGTAATTTGGTAATGGACGGTTCAGCTTTGGACCCCAAATCTTCAGTCGCTGGAGCAAGGTGACTGCTTATATACACTACATCACACTATGAGCTGAATCTAGCAGTCAGTATCAACCCAAAGTACTTCCTAGACAGGAGTATCAGCAGGGAGGGAGCTGTTTGAAGGAGGGTTAATTAGAGAGTTTAAAGCACTTTACAAACTCACTTTATGTTTCAAAATGGAAACCAAGTCATAAAGCAGACGAGTAATTTTAAGTAAGGTCGAAAATATAATCAAGGTCACTTGCCTTTTCTTGTTCAAACAACTTTCCTATCTGCAGTTCTATTAAAATCACTGCAAGCTGTGAAGCATTCTGATGCTTTCCTGACAAGTCATCATCTATGCAGTATACGTACACTACTGCTTCTCGCCCCCCCCCCAAAAAAAAATCCAAAGCTGATGTAAAACTACCTTCCAAGTAGAACAAGATTTAACCAGCACTTGAAAATGTCAGAAATCAGACAGCTTCAAAAATCTCTAAATGGCCATTCTTGGCATTAAAACTTCTGTAATGCTGCAATCAAAATATTTCCTACATTAGAGAGCTGCTTTTTTTTTTTTAAATACCTTTTACCCATATTGCTTGTTTATAATTTTGTTAAGAGTTATAACCAATCAAGTGAAGTTAAAAACGTAACTACACTTCACTTTTGGCTTAAGATAACTGACTAGCTGCCATTCTGATACCATTTGTTAGCTTTGTCACACTATATTGTTGATTTTGAAAACTCTCATAGAAAGTTTTATTTATTGTGGCATTGCCATGATGACATTGTGGATGTCTGCACTACAAACAAAAACATTTTATGACACGCTACGTGCTGTGACTGACAGAATATACATGTTGACACTGCTTACCAAGAAAAAGTGCTCAGCCAAAGCGGGGAGGAGAAGAATCAACCAGCTGTATCACTTGTCCAAATTACTCTCTGTTCTCAAATTACTGGCAGGCAAAGACATATCTGTTGGTGCCAAATTATTATACAGCCAATGGGAGTAAATTAAATGCAAGGACAAAGCCACAATAGGTGGAGCTACAGTGACTGAAAACATCAGTTGACAATGAAACAAAGAGAGGCTGCAAAAAGAAATGAGACATCACCAGTACTTAAACCTCATTGGACTGGTTACGCTGGAAGTAAAAGGACATAAAAAAAGAGCAAAAAAGTCTGTGTGACCAGGTGGGAAGCCAGAGTCTTGCAACGTTAGAGCCCAGGCTTCCCAGAGCAACAAGGGAATCTGAATTTCTCAGTAGGGGCACAGCCACAGCAGACAGACACCTAGCGTAACTGCAGAGCAGATCCAACACAGTGGCAGCATTTATTTTAACAAAATGTTGACATCAAGAGCTAGTGAGAGCTGTCATGTTTTCCAGAACACAGCCAAAGTTCCAGTTCACAAGTGACACAAACAGGATCATATATGATACATTGGCAAACTTGAATAAGTGCAACTAAGCCTGTGAAGAATAGGGTAGGAGGATGAGCAAGCAGAAAAACCAATAGGAAAAAGGCGTAAAAGACAAAGGCTGCTTTTTTTGTGCAAGATCTTGACAATCGTTTTTCCTGATACATCTATGCTGTTCTACCCTCTGTTTCCTTAGCTACAAATCTCAGGTGCAATGTACCCCTGGTATACATTTAAGCCAAGTTTGGCCTAAAGGTTTGGGGCAGGGAGTCTAACCAAAAATGAGCACATCTATATGAAGCTCTCATATATCTGCTTCACAAAAGGGCAGGAAAACCCACATCACCTATTTGAAGGAGAATCTTCAACTTTCATAATTGGCATAGGTACCCACAATAGGAATAAATCCATCACAATAGAGCAATCGGATCAGCCATATATCTTTCTCTATAAATCTAGACTTGTTTCTTGGTACTTTGTGTGAGGAATTAGTTTTTCACGGGGGCATGCCTTCAGGAATATTTTGCACATCAGTTAATTCACATGATTCTTGTATTATTCATGTTTTTCATAACATTTCCTAATCAGAAGCGATGCAGAGGTTGCTTATCTACCAATTCTGGTGAGAGAACAGTCTATTTCATTCTGTAACTCAGAACATCCTTTATCGTGCCACATCTCAGACAAACCAGTTTCATTATCTTATCAAGAAAACGTGCTCATTTTAACCACTGAAATATGTTATAGTGAACTCAGTTGATCCAGAGGACAGACTATGATCTTGACCAACAGGAATTTAATGGTGAATGATTAATGTGTCTTTCTTAAAACATACATATTGATCTTCCAGAAATTTCCTGGAAAAGTCCTCCCCTACCCTTTCCTCATAAAGAAATGACATTTTCCACATTCAGCACTTCAGAACTTCATACCTCAGTCCCATCTTGCTAAGTCTTTTTATATAAAAAACATATATAATACTAAGCTAGTATTCTTCGCATCTCACACAGGAATTGCATTAAAGTGTCAGACCTCTTCCATACTCGCGTGATGAGACACTCAAGTTTGGGCTTTTGCAGAGCTCCAGAAAGGTTGCTGTTAACTGCAGACAGGTTTTGCAAAGATGCACTCTGGTTAGAGGCTACCAATACCTCTGCAAGCAAAGCATCACTCCTAAGAGTTTATAAATAAGGAACTTTATCACAGGTTTCTCCTGCTGGTATTAACCCTTGTCTTCAGGAGGACAGTTCCACTCCAAGTACCAGATGCTCCGACATGACTTAGTTTAGCCGCTTTTTCAGGATTTCTTTTTTGTTTATTTAGGTTTCCTGTACAGCCTTCTGTCCAAAGACACTGTTTAGAGCCCTTTAGGTTATAAAATCCTAATGCTGTTAATACCAGGTAGTGTCGGGCTCTGCTAAACCATGCGTCTAACCCCTTTAAATAGCTGATCCATTTAATTCCCATATTCTATACTCTCTGATAGAACTGAGTGCTGTGAGTACATAAAAGGGAAAAGATCTGGTCTACAGAAAACAGTGTGCTTAAATCTCATGGGTATTCTCCTCCTCTTTTTTTTTTTTTTTTGGGGGGGGTGGTATCAGGGTAGGTTAACAACCCAACCCTTTCCAAATTGCCTGGAAACAGTAACATTAACCCTGCTGCAGGTAAGCACCACAAAAGAGATTTTGAACAACAAATTGAAAGACCGAGTTCCAAGACAATCAGTCAAGAATGGACTCTGTATTGACAGCTTGCTAGAATACTAAGATCACTTACTAAAACTGTATAGACAGTATTTGCTCTTAGACTGAGCAGTAAATCAGTCTGACAGAGAAAAAAATTGAGACAAGTCATTGAAACAGGTGCCAAGGATTTTATACAAGGAATGTCATGGCTGCTTTCTCTTTTTGCATTAACATGGTAGTAAAGCTGCATGCATAAACAGCACACAGGGCACAGCCTACAAACCATTACCACATTGTAACTGCATTGTTCACCCATTAAAAAAATAAAAAGGCTTTGAAGCACAGAATACTACTGAATGTGCAGGATGCCTTTTAAGAGAGGATTTCTACCTCCTCTTCTCATGCCCTCCCTTGGGCAACTGTCAGTTTATGGCAAACTTTGCTTACAAAAACAGTAGACAGTCCCCAGCAAACTTAACCAGTACAGAAGGTGTCATGGAACATCTTCCAAGTCTACTTCCATGTGTAGGCTGGATGTAGTTGCAAAGGGGCAATCACTTTTGCAAGCATGTTCTTTCAGAGACAAAGAGAGAACTACTTGTTACAAGGAAAAAGCCAGTACGCTTGTTCAGAAGATAAAGTCTTTTATAGCAGTTAATTTAATAATACAGTCCTAAAACAGGGTGTTGGGCACTCATCTACACAAGACCACATTTAACAAGCTGAGGGAAAAAATACCACAGTTCCAGGACATTGCATCAAACTCCAGCCAATCCAAGAGGAGACAAATATCCTCTGGCAGAAGAATTCTTGTCTGTATAAGCCAACAAGGGATGATTTCAGGCAGTTCAATCCACAATGGTCTATTACTTCTTTATCACTGGAACCACAAATCCACAGTACAAGACAGCGTTAGTTAGGTTAAGTGGTCTTTTGGATGATAAAAAAAATCAGTGAATTCAATGCAGTCCTTTATTAGTAAAGGATGAAGCCCAGTGAGTGCCACTTTCTAAGAGCAGAGAAGAAAGCTCCCATTTTCCAGGTGGATTTGTAAGTTCATCTCATTAGAAAAAAGACAAGTCAAATCTGTGCAGTTTCTATGCAACCGCATCTGTGAACACGGAGGCTCCATAGATTTAGGGATCACATAAAAAGAGGCAGAAAAGTCACCACAACCCACGCAACTCAAACTTCGTATCTCAGAATTGCCTACATAACTTGTGTCTTGTTTTGCTCCAGACAAAACTTTTAACTGCAACAAGCTGGTAGAGAAACCTAAAAAAAAAAAAACCTGAAAACCTGAGTGCATGAGAACATTGTCAGGGAGAGTAAGACCTTGTTACCTTTTGATTTGGTACTGAAGTTGAAGTGGCAGACTCTGAATATGTGCAACACCTTTGAGAGCTATATTGGTCTCTACCAGAGGGTTTACTTCAATTTGATACCTCTTGCACTGCAAGACCACTGTTTACATCACAATTCAAACAAACTTGCTGATGAGTCTGGTTTTAATCTTCCAGAGACAGAAGAACAGCACCTCCTGATGTAGGGTTGCTCCCATTATTAGATGCAGTTCATAGACCAACATTGGAAATGCTTGTGATTTCCTGGCAGCATGGAGTCCAAACCTTCCTCCCTTTCTCACAGGACACCATGATCAGCAAGATGTTCCAAAACAATAATCAGAAGGCCATAAATCTGCTCCAATATAGGAAGGAACAACATCATCCATCATTTGAAATAGGAATACTCAAAGCTTCATTAGCCAAATGCATTCTTAATATACTAAATTATACATAGATATAGATATATATGTGTATATTTAAATTGGAATAAAATACACTGGATTTTGGTTTGTTCATTTGCAAGTGAGCTCCCTCCCTTCTCCAGTTAATTGAAATTAAAACCTGAAGACTGAACTCAAGCTTATTCCCAGTGTTCCAAGATGGATATAACACAGGAGAGGAGGCCAGAAACATGCACTCTGGCTGCGACAGGTTAAAAGGTGCAAGGGAGACCAGATTTTTGTTTGTAACCCTGAGAACCTAAGGAATTGCAAAGATCTGGAGAAGAGCCTGGGGTTAAAGGTCACCAGGCTTTTTATTGCAGTTAAAGCAAACTCGGACCGGGTGATCCCATCCACGAGAGGGAACTGCTCTGCGGTCATGTGAGCACTCATCACAGAATCCCTGGCCGCAGGCCCGACAGTGGTGCTTGGAAAGCTTGATGCTGAATTCCTTCCGACAGTTGTGGCAGTGCAGGATTTCATGGTCAGGTACCCAGTATGCAGGTCGGGCAGCATCTTTTACCAAACCTATGGAGGAAGAAAGAGAGAGAAAAGAACACATCAGCACGAGTATGTCAAGAATGTCTTCATTCTTTCACTTGCAAAGAGGGAAGGACTCACACACTTCCAGTCATATCACTGCCATAAAGGGAAAGACAACTTATTGATTGCAGTGTAACAGGTAGCCATTTCCCATTTAGGCCTTTCTGCTTTCACCCACATTCTGCCTCTTCAAAGGGATGGATTGTTTTTCCTTAAATGGAAAAAATCCTGCTTTACTCCTAATCTCTTCCAGAGGTGGAAAGACTTGCTCTTCCCTACCTTGGTGACCAAAACACCAGTCACCAAATCAAACATTCTGAAACACGGGTACCATCCGAACTGATGAAGACTTATTCTTCCTTCCATTGAGTTGGCCAGCAAACAGCCCACCAAGGTGACTGCAGGACACACTGCAAGCAAAGCCATGGAATGATGACCTGAGCAGTGTATGGGAGGTCAGCTGCACAACAGAAGAAGATTCAAATACCAAGTGTTTGCTGAGCTGCTATCCAGCACATTAAAGACCAGCCAACTTTCACTATTCAAGACCACATTCCTAATTACTTTCCCATCATTACCAACCCAGAAAACTTTAGATTCTCAACCAACCCTTGAAGAAATACTCAGTGCTAGCAGTCTCCTCAGACAGACTTACAGACACTCAGCATCTCTGGAAAAAAAAAAAAAACACACACAAATCTGAAAATGCTCCCTAATTGGGCAGTCCTTAGGGAATTGCAACTGGCAGGTCGCTGCAGCAGTGTATTAGGGGAACATGAATTACTCACATTTTGGATGCCCACAAACTTGAGCAATAGGGAGAAAAGAGAAGGTATAAACTGCAAAAACAGCATGCCAAAAACCAAGAGGAAATATCAGGCACGAGAGCTGCAGGGGGCCTCTAGAACCAATTAGGAGCAACAATGGAGAACAGAAGCCCTCGATTAACAGCGGTATCATACAGGAAGTACGAGTCTGTCATACAGACAGACTTGCAGTTTAATTAAAAGTTTTGCCCTGTGAAATCAAAAATGCCCCTAGACAGAAAAGCCATCAAAGAGAACAGAGCTCACCTAAGGGGATGTCCATGGCTGTCACCACCGCTCCAAGAGTGTTCTGCACAGCTTCCCCAACCTTCCTGGCAATAAGCGTGCCCCCTTCCTCATCTGTAGGTAGCTCAGCCACATCTGCATAACACAAGAGTAAAGGGCTCAGCAGCTAGCTCTAGCGTAATTTCTGCCAAGTTTCAGTTTATGTTAGCAAAACACCAGCAACAACCCAAAACACAGCTTGAGGCCTTGTCAGCCTTTATTTACCACCTCCACAATCTTCAATTGCAGAACTTTCACTTTCTTTTCAGCAATAATAAACAAAATACATATTCTGCTGAAGCAACGACATCCCAACCCCGCTACCATCTCCACACCATCAGCAGGTGCTAGGAAAACAAAGTAAAGATCCAATTAGAAAATAATTTTATCAGGCATCAGATATCTGGTAGCTCATTATAGGGGTCATTCACACATAGGGAGACAAGTTTCACCTTCCATGCCAAAAGACATCAAGTTCTTGAGCTTCCTCACAAAAAATAGAACAAAGCCCAACTTGAGCTGCCATCTACCAAAGAACAGCATTGTCTAATGCCCAGTGAGGCTGGCTGTGATCCAGGAGTCAGGGACAAAGGCTTCAGAATATTACCCAGGGATAATTCTGTCACAGTCAACTACAAATTACCTAACTGGATGCCCCTGTTTTCATAGCAGTTGTCACACACTCGCACTGGTGCTGGTCCCCAGCCTCGCTCAGGCACAGGACGGGTCTTGGAAGAACGGCCATCACAGAAGCCCTCTCCACAGGCCCGGCAGTGATGTTTAGTGTCATTATCTTTAAAAGGCGTGTTGCACTTATTACAACTCTGAGCAGGACAACACAGAAAGAGAAGCTGTTAGCTTGATCTTCCTTAATCGTCTCGTAAGAGAAAAACGGGGAGCAGAATCCCAGGATGGAAAGAGTCAAGACTGAAACTGTGAAAAAGACAGTTACAAGGGAGTGCGTGCTACCAGCCCCATAACTTTACCCCAGGAAGTAATTCAGATAGGTAGAGGTACTGTGGTTAGGTCAATAAATTGCCATAATCCCTTCTGTCAAAAGCACAAATAATTACATCCATAATGCGCAGGGCTGAATTGTGGATATTTGATCTTGAAGGGGGAAGAATTCAGAACACTATTTTCATTGCAGAAATGTTTTCTGCAAGGCATGGGGAAACTTCTAGTTTAATCACTGGAACCAACTTCTGCATCAAATATGAAATTAGAGTTGAATCTCTGCAGCTATAAAAACTGGACTATCAACAGCAAAAGCCAGAATTTGAGGTGTTCATTCTTGCTTTCAAGAGCAAGTGCATGCGAGCCAAGATTTGCAGCTGTGATACTGTCGGGAGAGGAGGTCACACTAAAGGAGGAAGGACACAGTTTCTTTGGCAAGGCTGGGCAGAGTCCCTTTTCACTCTTTGTTTGGCTAAGTCAAGAATGGAAAGAGCTGAAAGCAATTCAATTTTCTCTAAATTGTAGGAGAAGGGCTTGCTGCAAGGGAATAAGAAGCATTTGGAATCTACCAGATACTAAATTACTTAAAGGGTAGAGAACAAAATGTTTAGCTATGCAAAGCTTTTCTCCACAGCACAGAAGTACAGCAGCTGCTATTTACCAGGATCTGAGAGTTGGGCCGCCAGTAAGCTGGGGCAATCTGGTCTGTCAGCCAGGAGGTCACAGCTTTTGTGGGTCCCAGGCTAAGTTCAGACACTGACTGTGCCATGAAATTCATCCCATCCAACAGACGCTGGGCTGCATTGTTGTTGTCTTTCAGAAATCCGTCTGTCTGGAATGAAATAGGCATTCATTTGAGAATAAAAACAGGGAAGCCTCATTTCTTATCAACAGATGGCTCTGTGACCCACTGTTCCTGTTAGACTGGAGGGCAAGTACAAGAAAAATTTCACCAGCCCTGCTTTGAAACACAAAAGGTAGGTTTTAATGGTGTAACATTCATACCAAGAGTTCATAAACTGGCAATTCAGCCATCTTAAGCTAGCCAAAATGTGACTGAAGCTCCTTGAAAAAGTTCTTTTAAACAGCAAAGACAGGGGAACTGCTCTTATGAGTGCCAACCCATTTTCTCCACCATTGTCTGGAAGAACCGACATGCACGTGTGCACGGATGAAACACATACACAAAGACTATCCAGCAACCAGACTTACCCCTGGCCAGACATGTTCAATTTCTGTCCTCACCACAGTGTTCACAGGATCTTGGTTGCCAAACCAGTACTGTCGGCTGCGGTACACCACCCCGCAGTTGGGGCACTCAATCACGTATCTGCAGGGGGGATTTAAAGGAAGATATGTTAACCTCAGTGAGATGCTGGAGGTCCCGAGGACTAGGCAGAGCAGAGGCAACAGAGCGCCTCTCAGCTGCAGTACTTACCCCGACCAGGCATACTTGGCAAGGCCCAGCCAAGGGGAGTCAGTGGAAGCAGAGGTTTTCGGCACCACGCTGACCTCCATCCCCCGTTCATAACAGGCCTACAACACAAACACTCAATTAGATTTGCATGCTTGGGAATCCCCAGGCTCCAGGCACCACAGCTGTTTGGCCATGTGAAGGGTGTAATTGGCATTCTGTGGTCTCCACAGCAAAGGGGCCACATATCAAACCTGTTTAACAAAAATCCATTATCAGTCATGTCATCTAGAAAATATTTCTACGATAATGGAAACCATGATGGTGCCTGACAGTCTTCCTGTCTTCTGCATGCTTCCTTCAGAAAAAAATCAGCTAATACTGAGAGATGGGCACAAACAAGTAAGGAGAGTAACTGCATCCAGTGTGCAGGTGGTCAACCTCACCCAAGCTGAGAGCAGCTGAACTGACAATTTACATAGCAAGTAATGCGTAGCATGGAACAGTGACAATGTCTCCAAGCAAAAATAGCAGCTCAGTGGGGATCAACTTGTCTTGTCAAGGCCAGAGCACCTGCCCCATTTGAAAAAAAAAAAAAAGCAAGAAAGTCAGCACATGCCTGGTGCCCTCATTCATTGAGCCATCCTTTCCCCTTCTCCATTCCTCAGACCTCCTCCTTGTGGCTCTGCTCACCTTGCAAGTATAGACTCTGTTATCATACTGGTGAGAGTATCTGCATCGACTCTTGGATTCATGAGGGACTCCTTCCTTTGCATGGTTCATGCTCTTCTTACAGCCACACCTGAGTATGCAAAAGCAAACCATGAGTTGACCCCGTTAGACACAGGACAGATGTCATTAATAGTTCATTTATATTGCTACCTTGCATTTGTAGTCGTTCTAATCCCAAAACAATTTCACAGCTGTACACGCAGCAATGACATCATTTATCACTGAAAGGTAGGCTTTTTGGAGGGAGGTGTAGCAGTTGTTTCACAGTACAAACCAAAACCATACAACAATTTAGTGCAGGAAGTCACTGCAGGCCAATTTAAATTTCACAGAGAATCTTAGCTAGAACTAATCAAGTTTGGAAACCAGGCCAGGCCCGAGATAACACTGCAGCCTACAGACTCTCTAATGAGCACAAAAAAGCAGGAACATAGCTTCTTATCCCATTTGAGAGAGAGCATTCCAATAAGCATAATCAGCCTTAACATCATGCTGCTATAGTATCTTATGGACTCAAGAGCAGTGACTGCCACCTACTGTCTTTCCAGGCTCAGTCTCTGGGCTCTCCGCAGAGAGCAACAAACCCAACTCTAATCAAATCCAATCTGGGGCTCCCTTTGGAACCAAGTCAGCATCCCTGCTAGTCACTGGGCACAGTCCAGATCCCTGGTGACATGTGCTTTAGTATTGTTTATGTAATAGAAATGGCAGGAACGATCACCATGGGAGATTCCAGGGGATTTCTACTCCTTTCTTCTTGCCCCTTGTGCAATTCTCAGCCCACGTGCTCATGAACCAACTGAGGGAAGGATATGAGCAGAACAGGTTTGTAGAAAAAGACAAAAGAGAGTTGGCAAAGACCACATGCAGCTGCTACACAGCGATAACAGCTGTCCTATTCAAAAAGGAACTGGATTTCAAGGAAATTCTGTCCCGGAGTACTCAGTCTGAGGCTGTCAGGCATCAAGACTTCACAGAAACTTTACGTTCTGTGGCTGTAGACCAGGGACAGCACCATCTCCCAGAAGGATCACAGTGCATTTCTCATCCACTTACCCACAGCTGAGGCATACAGAGGAGCATGTGAAATATTCATCTGGAAAGAAAGAGCTGTGAGCCATCTGGTCATCAGGGATCTCCCCACTGAAGCGGTCACTTAGAGCCTGTCAAACGCGAAAGAACGAACTGGTAAAAGACAAAGTAATTAAGATTTTTTTTTGAAAACTTTTACAAGGCAAAAGCATGTGTCCCTTTCCTGGAGGGAGAGCCAGAGAGAGCACACAGCTAACAAATCATGTCTTGCTAACCTGGAAACCATGCAGGTCTAAGACAAAGATAGAAACCATGCAAGAGAGAAACTTGAACTTGTATAGAGATGATCTGAACACTTGTAAGGTACTTACTCTTCTCTCCCCTTGCACCCGCCTTTAATTTCATAGCAGAAACAGGTGGGACAAGATTGCATCCACCTCTGGGCATGCAGCCCCATGCCCAAAATAGCTGCTAAAGGCAGCTTGCATTCTAAAGTCTCCAGTAGGCATCTTGAAGGGCCATTTCTCATAATATACCAGGGCACATTCTTTACCCCTCAGTTTGGAAAGTGCTGCCTTGAAATTTCCTTTGCCCTCCCTGGCAATTGCTCTTCTCCAGTGAAACTAGACTTCCTGCTAGTGAAACATCACTGCCGGGCCTGTGGAGAGGGCTTCTGTGATGGCCGTTCTTCCAAGACCCGTCCTGTGCCTGAGCGAGGCTGGGGACCAGCACCAGTGCGAGTGTGTGACAACTGCTATGAAAACAGGGGCATCCAGTTAGGTAATTTGTAGTTGACTGTGACAGAATTATCCCTGGGTAATATTCTGAAGCCTTTGTCCCTGACTCCTGGATCACTTCCTGCTAGTGAAACTGCAGGTCTGGGACAAAAGGATTTTTTCCCTTTCCTAGAAGCATCCATACTCAGATTAAGTCAGTCCTTAGCCTTGGAATCCTTGACCTTTTCAGTTCCTTGGGGTGTTGTGGTGAAAACAAGTATATCTGGAAGTAACGGGAAAAATGACATTTGTTTTTTTGATGGGTATCTTTGAAAGCATAAGACCTAACTGAAACTTTTCCTATAGCTGAGATAACTACGTCTGCCTTTCCCTTTCTCTCCTCCCTGGGGGGTACATCTCTGCTGTCTAACAAGGGTTGACTTTTTATGTATGCACACACATATAGATACCTCTCCCTACAGCCCCTCTCAGATAGGACTTCTATGTAGACATCTGATGTCACAACATTTCTAGGAAATTATCTTGAAGACCTCTTTCCAGTATGACTGATACTGGCCAATGGATTCAAAAGTTATAGGGGATGGTCATACACCCAAATATCTCCCAAGCCTTGCATCCTGAGGAAATGAAGCGAAAATGTTAATTGTTTACATGGTAGTAATTTGAAGACAGCAACCTACCAATATGAACTGAGGCATACTAGCATCCCTATCTGCAACTTCCTTCCTTGATTACTGCGATAATTATCTAAAAATGAAAAATACTTGGAATAACCTCTCTAGCTGTTTTTCCCCTGCTGCCAGTCTGCTCCCTAATGCAAGGGATTTATGTATAGGCTGCTTTGGCATTCCCTTCTCTGTTCCAGCTATCCAAAATGCAGAGCAGCTGGAGTTAGCTTTCCAGTGGCTGCGGCCAACATCAGGCTAGACTGTTAACATTGCCTTCTTCTGCAGACATGCCCTTCCCCTCCCTCCCCCCCACCCCAGCTTCAAGTGACAGCTGTGGTCTTCCAGGCCAATGAAAATATCCTGCTGATCAGGTTGGGGTACAATGGGTGGAAACTTGTAGGAGGGACTACACGTTTTCAAGACCTGAAAACCCCTCTGACGTTCTGGCAAGGTGAATTTTTTAAGAAAAACAAAAAACCAAAAAACCACCAGCTGCTTTCTCCACTACTTCCTTTTCATCAGCCTTCTGACCTGATGCTGCACCTCCAAAATGATACATCATTTGGCCTGATCTCACTTAGTTTCCTAACTACTGCTACATGTCCTTCCTCCCTTTTGCCTCCTAGCCCCCTCAGCTTACGCTACACCCAATGCCAAGTTTTCCCAAACACTAACTCCCTCCAAGTCTCTTGCAATCCCTCCCCTTGCACTGAGGCCATCCTTAGGAATTTCAACAACAACTCCTTCTGAGCTAAATTAGCTTGCTCACTGTAAATCTCTGTCATTAAGCGCTTGTCGCTCATACCATCAGTTACTTTCTCTTTCCCAGAGAACTTCTTCCTGGCTCAGTTTTTTTTGCTTTGGCTCTGTTTTGCTCTTCAACTTTTCTCCTGACCTTTCAGGGTCTTTGCTAGTTTTTTAAGTGAGAGCTACCCAGCCTACCTGACTGCTACACAAAGGCATCACCATCACCTATGTCAAAGACTTACTTTATCTCCAGGTATCTGCAAGTCTGCATTACTGATTCCCTCTTTCCAGTCTTTTTAGCTGCAACTGACAGTAATTGGCAACAGTGATACAAAGACTGTGATGAACTGGTGTGTATAGCAGAGGACTTACTTTTAGTGCTTTGTAGATAACCCCAGGCTGTCTTGGGGACCGAGTGGTATTGTTCTCCAGCTGCTGCTCCACAGCTCGCCTAAGTCCCGAGAAGTCTGTTGGAGGATTGTAAGTCCTTGTTCCCTTGTAGTGGATTGAGCTGAAAGCTTCAGGAAAACAGCTTAGCTTCCGGAACCGATCCTGAATGAGCTTCTCAGGAACCTCAGAGGGATGATCTATACACAAGAGTATCAGCAGGTATATAAACAACTGATAGTTTAAAATAATATTTAAATTGCATGGTGCTTTCATACACAAAACCATGCCGGTTTTCCTAATTAAACCTCCATATACTTCTGGAATGGAGTTCTTGGTCCATTTTACAAGTAGAGTAGTTATTAAGAAACCGTTTTCAAAAGCAGCTGCTCTTTTTCAATGTCCAGCTTCAGATTCTAAGACCAAGTTTCAGAGATACAGGTAAATCCACAGGTAAAACTGGAAACATCTAGGCTTGGAAATACAGTTATGCAGAATGAAAATCCATTTTTGACATGATGTAAGAAAACTCCATGTTAGCACATGTGCTAGTTCTACTCAGCAGATGATAGCTTGGCATAGTTAATCCTAGCACTTGGCATAGTTAGCCCTAGCATCTGATAAGTGGAGAATAAGAACATGAACCTTACATGGGCTGCTTATTCTCCATGCCAACCCTGCAGGAAGAAAGACCAAGTCCTTATCACCCCTCCATACAAGGTGGAGCACTTTAGAACTGGTCACATCAGATCAGACCCGCAGAGCCCAACACAGTCTTCTGCCTGCTTCCCAGTATCTGCTGCACATTTCAGAATAAAACCAGCCCTTCTTCCCTACCCTAGAACTATATAAACACACTCATCTCTCAATTATCCATCACAACAGATAACTGCACGCTGCTGCAAATCCACGTGCTAAAAGAAAAGGTTTCCTTCCTATTCCTCCCATGATCAGAAGTGATCATAAAATATTTTTTTTACTACCCTGACTTTGCACACAAGTGCAAGTATCATTACAAGTCACTGACTCTGACCTGCTGAGACAGCAAATTTCAACAGCTATATGAAACTCTGCATTGCCAATCAGCAAATTGGCAATGTAAGAAAAAGAATTGCCTTAGCAGGTCAATTATAACCAGTTAAGAAGGAACTCTTATAATAAGTCCAAAGAACGTCAAGTTCTTCTGTTCGCTCAAGAACTCTCTGGTGAGAAAAGCCCAAATGAGAATGCGGGCCAGCAGGGAGCTGTTGTGGTATTACACAGCAGAGGGCTCCCAGATGCTCACAGATAGCAAGACTGAGCCTCATGCGCTGCAGGGAAGCTAGGTCAATTCATTAGGGCTCTTGCTCATTAAAGCACTAGAAATGGACAGCATGAAGAAAGGTTTCAGCATGCATGTTGAAACAGAGGAAAAAGGGGCCAGGAGAAATTTTATGTCCTTGAATGGCCAAAAACAAAATACACCTCAACTTCCACAGGACAGTGCATTTCACTCAGTCATGAAAATAAACTACACAGTTTAAATACGCACAATCCTGTATGCCATAAGCCAAATTAAAAGTGCTGGTGAAAAACACTGAAAGGAATAAGAAGTAATTGTGTGCCAGGCTTGCTTCTTTGGCCACATCAGATACATGCCCAGAGAAAAGTGGTGCCAAATCATCAACCCTGGGCCACCATAACCTCAGCCCCACCCCTACACCAGCCTCAGAATGACCGTGGCCCACAGATTTTAAAAAAGAAGGGAGAGGGTACTGTATTTAAGTCCATAAATTTCATTCTTCTTGTCCATCCTAATTTCTATATATGGTCTGTTTTTGCTTATTTGTTGCAACAGGACTCTCTATATTCCTACCAAAATGCCACAGTATCTCAATTTTTAACCTTTGCCTGCTCTATCACCTGCACCCATGGTGCTGTACAATGACCGCTTGCTCCTAAGGCTGGCAGAACTCCCTTCGTGACTAGTCAGTGCCGATGTCCAGCCAGCTAAGAGGATTATTCTAGCTGGCCTGGGGTAGTCAGGCTGCCATCAAGGAATGGCATGCTACTTCTATAGCCTGGCTGCCAGATTGGAACAAGTGAAAGCAAAACCCAAATCCCTGTCTTCTACATGGCAGTGAAGAGCACTGAAAATTCTTAGCACATTGTAATTCAGTGTCTTACTGCCTACTTACCAGAACCCAGTAGCTTGGTGTACACAGTCTCATGGAAGATGATGACACCAGGACCCAAAGTGGACAGAGGAACATCTAGGCCACAGCGGGCTGTAGTGGCCTTTAGCTCCTTGGTGAAATGTTTTAAGTAAGCCTCTGAGGCATCCCCAAGGAATTTGAAGAGATCATTGTGTAGCCTGTCAGCACGAGTGCGGTAGATGACAAGGTCAGAGATGGCCAGGACCTTCAGCAGCAGCCGTGTTCTCTGGCTCAGGTTCACAGTAGCCCCAAGGAGGCCCTCTGTGTCGATCACCACCACTTTGCGGACAGGGTCATAGGCTGCCCAGACTCCCACTGTGCATGACTCTTGGGCTGGAGATGTCTTGAAGACTTCCCGGCCATAGAAGAAAGTGTGGTTAAGAGTGTGAGACTTGCCGTCCCCTGTGTTCCCAAAGATGGACACTACCTTTAGATGTTGGTCAGGACTGCAGTCCAGTTTATTAATAAAGTCTTCTTCATTCCTCACCTTCCAAAAATAAGAAACATGAGAAAAATATTACAACTATGCAACTGGAGCTGTCAACACAGAAAGCACAGCTGGTTTCAGGATTCGTAAGATTAATAAGTGATCAGTCCCTGTTCAGATTTCTTCACAAGTTTCTGAAGCACCAACAAGTCCAAAGCAAAATATTCCAAAGTAGCTTTCTAACACATATATATCAATGAGATTTAGGCTGTTCCACCATGTAGAGTTTTGAAAGTGATACCTTGCTGTGATTAGCTATAACATATAAAGTTTCTATAATGTCACCCAGTTTACTGTGCCAATCCATCTAGAGAAGGGAGCATAAGCTACTTCCAGTTTTGCTGGAACAGTGACTTGGATTCTTGGATTCAGAGTGTGGCAGATACTGTGAGTAGCATTGCTCTCCTAGCAAGCCTCTGAATTCATGTGCAAAAACAGGTGAGTGCTTTTGTGACCTTAACTTGCATCATCCACAGAGGCTGAGCACCTGTTCAGAGAGAAAAGGCTCCTCTGTTCAGCTGTGCTTCCTCTATCCACAGCAGAGGGCTCCCAAACACAGCCTGCCACAGTTTGCCTGGCATGGCCTCTGTCACACTCCAGCAGAACAGATTTTTGTGGGGCAGAGAAGAAAAAAGAAGCAAAGTTATGCACCGGAGGCAGGTAGTCAAAGCAGGTCAAACTGGATCTTACAGAAGCACCACAACCACCTCAGTGGTCCATTTCACATATATATTTTTTTTCCTTTTCTCAGTTGGAGACATACAAACACCCACACACAAAAACACATGAGTGGACAACCTTCAGCAGGTAACATTTCTTTGGTTTTACATAGGTTAAATGACATAAGTCATGTTAATTTAAGACAGAGAATCAGGCATTTTCTTTTCAGATACTAGAGCAACAGGGAACAGATAAACCAAACAATGAAACTGATTAGGGCTTTATATGAGAGCCTGCCTTGTTTTCATTGCAGAACAGAGCCTGGGCATTCAAAGATTTCATGCTTCTCATTATGGTTGCTTACCTGTTGCATTTTTTTTCCAAAAAGTTTTTACCCAACAGATTATGTGATAGGGAAAAAGATGACAGACTATTTGAGAAGGATTAAATTTACCACTTCCATTGTGATCCCTCCTCAAGGAATCCCCACCAGCCAAAACAAATAGGGCTTCCCTTTTCACCTGACTCAACTTCTGGAAGATCCCTGGCTCTTTCCTCAAGTGAAGAGATACACAACGCCGCCTTCCACAGGTGTTTTTTTTTTGGCAAGAATAACTCAAAGTGCCATCCCCCTTCCCCTGCGAGTACAGTCAGAAGGTCTCAGGATACAAGATCCACAGAGGTCAGGAGGTAATAAATGCTTTCTTCGAACAAGTTTATTCTTAGATCAGCAAATTAGTTTAAACGTTGCACAGCCCCATTTACTCTGGTCAAACCTATCAGCAGCATCCAGACTTAGAAAGAAAATAAAAAATCGCCAGTGTGCCAGACTGTAGTTGGGAAGGGTTTAGAAAGAAAAATTGTGGACTGTAGGGCTGCAGTAGCTACTCCCTGATTCAAAGCATTTAAGGCAGCCTCACAGTGTGGAGGAAAACAGAAAATAAAGAGAGCAAAACTCCGTTCACAGAATCTTTTCCAGTGTTTATGGGAGACCAGTAAGACACGCTCAAGATACATTTGCACACAAGAGAGGGTCTGCTTTTCGGTAGCTCCAATTATTAGCACATCATCAGGAAGGTAGTTTAAGTAACACATTCAGTTTCTCTAAGTGTCTCCAGAGACACCTCTGTGTATTAAAGCAAGTCCTTCAGGGGATAGTTCCTAAAAGCAATCACATGTGATTATACGATAATGTTACAAGTGCGTAAGCAAAGAGGAACACAATCGTTTCTGCTCCAGCCTGTTGGTTTTTTCTATTTGCCTTCCTCCCCCAACCTCTTTCCATAGGGACCTCTCTTTTCGCCAGAGTCAGCACCCGATCGGACCTGATCGTTCTGGTTAACATAATGGTAGCTCTGCAATGCATTCCCACCAGTAAGAAAGAGAAGCCAACTCAAACTCCACTGCAGCTGAAACTGCCCCAAGCTGAGCTAACATAAATGCCCACAGCACCAGTGTTCTTTTGTGGTCAATGTACTTTAACAACTACCAATGTCAGGTCAACTTACTGTGGGAAGAGGAGCTGGATATCTGAGCCAGAGTGAGCAAAAGCTGGCTCCAAATCATTAATCTAGGTGTCAGCAGAGAAGTCACCCTAAATATCACATCAGATATCTTAACCATTGAGCTGTTTACCCTTTTCTAATGCTGTAGGCTCACTCAGATTTTCCTTCAGGAAGGAACCTGGGAGTGATTCAGACAAGCAAATCATCTAGAAGCACAAGAATGTACTGAACTAGGCCTGAAGTCCAGCTAGTCCAATAGTCTGGCAGTAATGAATGAGAAAGAACTTAAAGAAGAAAAGAGTAAATGTTTCCCAGAAGTTCTTTCTCATTCATTACTGCCAAAGAAGAAAAGAGTAAATGTTTCCCAGTATACTTTACTAGCTCTCAGTAGTCAGATGCCAAAGGGCTTCCCAAGCAGAGGCTGCATCTAATGATCACGTTTGATAGAGGACCAGTAGACCTACCCTCCAGGGGGTTGTCTAACCCGTTGGTAAACCTATTCATACTTTTGGCTCCTACAACATCCTGTTGCAATAAATTCCACGCAGTATGGGAAAACAAATTAAAAGCCTTCCTTTTGTAGGTTGAAGACCCTTTGCTTGTATGCTATCAGGTGACCTTTGCTCTTGTGCATGCCCCCTCTTTAACCATGGCTGAGTGCAGGGATGTTACTTCCAAAGAACCATCCACAACCACCCCCCTGTCAGTAGTCAAATTTACCTCCCTTCAACAAGTTCCCTTAAGCTATTTGAAGTCAGCACAGTAAGTGTGCTAAAGGGCTAAACCTTGTGGGACACAAGTCCTACTTCTTGGTTTTGTTTCTCATATCTGAGAAAGCAGAGGAAAGTTGCACGTGCAGCAGGTGATACTGTGCAAAAGGAGCCACATTTCCGTAGCCACGCATACTACCACACCACCCAAGAGCGACATATATTTGACACAACAGCAGGGTAAATATGAAACTCTCCTTAAAGTGCATAGCAATGCCAGTTAAGAATGAAAATTTTGTAAGTTTACTTAAAACAAAGGACATCTCCCTCCAGCCCCTCCTCTATTTCCCTAAAGCATTTTGCCATTTCTAGTATCAGAGTTTCATTCATACTTTTATAATAAATCTTAGCTGATGAGAGTAAGTCACCTCTTCTAGAAAGAAAAGCTTTTCTTCAATTATAAGTTAATGTCTTCTTTCCAGTTATAATTTCATTGTTAACAATTGTCATGTACCCATCCATGCAGCTACTCCCTTGGAGTTGAACTGAAATGAAGGTGAAGGCCTTCAGCAGGAAGGGAACTTTACTCTAGCTGTAAAGAAAACAAAAACTCACACCATGCTGCTCTGGACCACATTTAGATCCGAAACCCACTTGTCACCCATATTTGGAAATGTAATGCAGCTAACAAGTTTCCCAGATCTAAGCAATAATAAAAGGATAATTGTTTAGGAATACACAAGAAAAAAAGAACTGCTAAAATCACATTCCTGCCCATGAACTTCTTAGAAATAATGTTATTCAAACAATAAAACTTTTAAAGCTTAGGAACAAAGCCCACAAAATAGAACAGTTTCCAATGACCTGTGCTTATACAGCTTTAACTCCGCCTCCAGGCAAAACAAACATTAAGTGAATCAGACATTTTTTTTTCCACAGTTTTCTCCATCCAAAACTATTCAAGAAATCTTTAAGGCTTACTAATATTCATGGAAGCGGTGCACAAAGCTAGGGCTGTGCCACAACCACACAATAGCTGAAAACAAAAATCAGGAGCGTTTTGCACCGTATTCAGACGGCCTTCATTTGTTAGTCTTACGCTGTCATTTTGAGTTATACTGGTACTTTTGCTGTTGCATTTTGAAATCTTACACTTGCTTGAGCTTTCTAGCAGAGTGTTTAAAAACTAAAATACATTTTCTTCAATCAAGAAAGAAAAATCCCACGATATATATCATGAAATTTATGTCATTTGTTTAACCCGCAGCATACCACAGCATCTTCTGATATACAACCACTAAATCACTAAAAAGTATATAAACTTAAAACACTTTCAAACAATGGAAAAATAAGCTACAAGATTCATAAAAGCACATCCATATATACATAACAGCATAAAATCACAAACATCTGAAACAAATCAGTCTTCAAACACAAGTGGACAAAGCAATCAAGTGAAGAAAATACTATTTTCCTTAAAATATTACTTCAGGCTTGCAATACAAGCAGCTCTGCCCTACAGTGCAGAAAACTTTAAAAAGACAACGCTTGCAAGAAGTCAAACTATACCTGAAGTCAGAAGAAAGGGTGGCAAAGCAAGCTAAAGCACAATTTGCAGCCTTTTGTAATTTAGGCAGCCCTTTTAAACACAAAATTGAGACAATTTCAGGTAATGAATCTTAAGAACAGCATATCAGTCATTAAAGCTGGAAACCAAACAGAGCTATCAGATCAGCCTACCTCAACACAGACTAGTTCTTTATGACACAGCCTGCAAATTTTGTTTATATAGTTAAAACACAACTAGCCAGAGTTCCTATTCAGGGTAGATTAATGCGGAAGTCCTAAAGATGCATGTGCAAAGCTCCAGGTCTTCATGTTAGGTCATTACGTCAAAGTTTCAGTATACACTGAAAACAAACAAAAGAGAAACCTAGAAAGCAGATACCTTTCTCTAACTACAGCCTGTAAGATGAATCTGAGAAGGATAACCTGCAGCACAGTGCAGTGCTGCCTCCAAAATTCAAATCTCTGCAGAGCTCTTCACAAGCATCACTCACAGACAGGCAGTGTGTGAACATAAAGGACAACATTTGGCTTATCCCAGCAACTCAAGTGCAACTGG